TTATTCATCTCAATATTTCCTCAAATCCTTTTGTAAGCAGGCAGAGTTGAAATAATGAATACATAAATACTCACTGTAGCCTCTACTGTGGCTTACAGGATGCCTAGGCTATGAGCATTCCATGGAAAAAAATTTTTTTGAATGCATGAATGAAGAGAGAGATATATTTCACCAATAATTGCATCTTGCAATTGCACACTTGGGCTACGGTCTACCACGAGGCAGGCACTGTGTAGGAGATAAAAAGAAACATAAGACAGAGTCGCTGTTCTCCAGGGCTTGGCACCCTGGTTGGAGCAAGTGGCAGAGACCTTTCCTGCTCACGGAATGTCTGTGCACTTCCACACAATTTTCCAACTTCTTCATAGTTAGGCTGGTTCTAGCCAGTGTGCTATGACAGAAGTGATGGATGACACTTCCAGACGGAAGTGTTTCATAGTCTCTATGTGACCCGTCAGCGCTCTCTTCCCTTGACATGGCATCCATGTGGCCTCCACCAGTCTGGGTCCCTGAGCAACTGTGTGAAGCAGAAATTCCTGCTCCATCACACTAGACATGCAGTGTGAGCAAGAACACGTAAACAACTTCACGTTATGCAATTGAGATGGTAAGATTACTTTATTACCTTAGCATAGCCCCATCTATTCTAGTACTGGGAAACACACACGCAAATACAGGAATGATGTAGCACAGGACACAATAGACTTCCACTGAGCAGAGTGGATAATCCCCTCCAAGCTTTCTCCCCCTTGCTGGCTTATAAGCCACCCTACCTGTGGTATTGGGTCCCCTCTACTTTTGCCCTTGCTGTTGCCTCTTCCTGTAGCCGTCCCTCCAGATCTCATTGGAGCTGGTGCCCTCCTGTCATTCAGGTTTCAGCTACAATGTTACCACCTCCATAAGCCTTTCCTGACCACCTGATCCGAAACGCACAACCCCTAGCCACTATCACATCACCCTGTTTTGCTTTCTCACCCTCTGTGAAGTGTTCTTGTTTATGGTCCTTCTTGCCCTTACTGAGGTATAAATACAAGGAGAGCAGGGACCGTGTCTTTCCTATTTACAGCTATGTGTCCTGAATTGTATCGGGCACAAAGCAGGCACTCAATCAACATCTGAGGGATGAAGAAAGGAACGAATGATCTGTGCCCGGGAGTTCAGAAGCGCTGGGAGGAAACCCACTGAGGGCTGAGTGTCCAGAAAAGGATTCATGGGGGAGGCAGGCCTCAAGAGGTCCTTTAAAGGGAGTGTCGCTGGGGATGGTAACAGCAGTTACAGCAGCCTGAGTGAGGCACAGGGGTGGAACACACAGGGTGACATGCGGTGACCATGAGTTGGGTGAGTCAGTTGGGATGGAGGAGGACAGTGAGAAGATGGTTGAGAGCCTCAAGTGCTAGTTTATATCTGATCTCAGGGCAAAAGGAAGCTTTCTATAGGGGCTGAACAGGAGTGATACCCTCCCCCACCGCCAACCCAGCCTTGAGAAAGGCTTACTGGGTGGGGTTTCCAAGATAGAAGCCCATCAAAGAGGCTGAAGACAAGGGCATAGTCCTTAGGCTGTGACAACAGTCCAGACAGAGATGATGATCCATGGACAGGAAGGAGAAAATAGTTAAGGAAAAATTAATAAAACTTGGTTCAGAGAAGTTCCCTGTTTGCCCAATGCCACACAGCTGGGGGCAGGAGAGAGAAAGGAGCCAGGTCTAGGACTAGAAGTTTCTTTCCACTGAAACTTGAATTCAGTGTCCTTCTACTCTACAACAGTAACTCTCTGAGCCCTCTGGGAACACCCAGCCTAAGAGTGACCTGAGCAACAGGACAATTCCCACATGGGTTCCTGAGTGGAGACCCAATACACCACTTCAACCCAGACAGTAAGAAACTTACAGCAAAATAGCACAAAAGATATTTGCATTTTAGAGGTAGAGTTTGAGTTTGAACCTTAGTAAAATGAGAATATGATGCTTCCCTTCCTGACAACACATTAGTTTTTGTGAAGATGAAATGGGATAACAGATTTCTTTTTAATTTAAGAACTCTCTATGAGTACTACTGTTACAAAGAACAGAGCGTGCTTGTTAGACTTTCATCTCCTCTCTAGAACACACACTTTCTTATAGTGCACTGCACATCCGTTTAACAGCCTGGAGGGGCCTGAACTTTTTGAGTGAGGGAGAAAGTGCTACCAGAAAGAGTAGATGAAGCTTCAAAGTATAGAAACTGCTTTATGGCCCAATGCAAGGAGAACTTGCCCAGCCTTGGGCTTGAGAGGTGCCCACTAAATACATGTTAATGAATTTTTGACTGTTGACTACATTATGTATCTTCTGTCTTTACTACTACGGAGCTGTGTAAGAAAAGTGAAATAAAGTAGCACAAACAGACAGCAAGAGGACATTTCTACATCATCTCTGATTCCCTGCCTCTCTTCCCCACTTCCTGCCCACACACTCAGCTCTACATCAGATCTTCATGCCCCTCTCTACTCTGTGGCATCCTATATCCTTGCTGGAGTAATTGTGCAAACATACAGGTCCCATCACATCACACTCTTCAAAACACCCTCAGTGGTGCTGGGTCAGGAGCCATTGAAGGGGATGGCGGACATTCCACTCCTGATGTTTCCCCGTGTGAACAGAGTGGGATTAACTGTAATGCCCTGCCTTGTCTCCCCCACCTCACTCATTTCTCCTCTTGGGTGAGACAAGGGGTGATAGCTCATATCCCCAGTGAGTCTGGAAGGGGACACTGCATCCTCGTCTACCCACTTCCTCTGCCCTTCCTTTGGGGAGCAGGTGTTCTTCTGTGCCCCTCCCCCATGTCCTAAACTTGCAGGGCTACCCTGTCCACTGCTGTCTGCCGTAGGGAGGGTAAGTCTGTATGGAATCCCATATTAGGAAGCCTGTTTGGCTCTCCTGCAATCTGCTTCCTCCCACATAGCCTTTTTCAGCTTTAAAGTGAAATCTTGGCTTTTGTCTACACCTGCCTTTGCCTTATTTCTCAGCTGGTTCAGTAATCAGGCCAGGAAGATGGGTACTTTTTATTGGATGCCCCTTTGAATGCCAGCCAACACTTTTCCATTGTCTATAAAAATTAGCAGAGTCCTCAGCCTGGCATTCAAGGTCTTTGACCAAAAAAACAGGCATCGTCAACTCTCTGGGCCCGATCTCCCACTATGCTGTGCCCTGGACATGTCATGGACCCTCGAGCAGCCACCACAGTCGGCTCTCTGGCATCCTGGACACACTTCGAGGTTTCTTTCTTCCGTATGCTGAGTTCTGCTCCTTCAGCTCCCCTGGCATTTAGGCCCACCAAAATCCCACCCATTGTACAAGCCCAGCCCAAGTGCCATTTCTCTGTCGGCCTTTCCTGACCCGGAGGGAGCTGATTTCTCCACTCAGTGCTGTATATCTCATTCTGTTTCCTCCGCCAGGAACCTTCTTCTCCTCCTGCCCACTCCCTCCTCCCCCTGCACGTGTCTGTCCAACTACCACTTATCTCTGAGCTCTCCAAGTGGACGCCTTCACCTCGGAAGCCTGCCCTGAGCCCCCACCAGTGTTGGATGCTCCTCCTAAGTGCTTCCGTAGAATCCTGTGTACCACTGAATACACTGAAGTAACATTCTCTGCTTACTTTTCTCAAGAAACTTATGAAGGAACACAGATAATGCTTATAAATACATACACGCCTAAAGAGAGCAGAACTGCCACTCTCGATGGTAAATTGCCTATATCCACATAGAAACCAAAAGTAAACGCCCACTGAGAGTAGAGGCCAAGCCGGGAGAGGCACTGAACTGGAATCGGTGAAACCTTTCTGGAATTCTCTGCTCCTCCAGGTAGGGCTCTCTTGAACAGGGAGTTATCCTATCAACTGTCTAGCTTCCTAACTAGCCAGTGAATTAAAGATGCATCATTGGGGCCGCCCCCATGGCTTAGCAGTTAAGTGCGTGCGCTCCGCTGCTCAGGTTCATGGCCCGGGTTCGGATCCCGGGCGCGCGCAGACGCACTGCTTCTCCTGCCATGCTGAGGCCGCATCCCACATACAGCAACTAGAAGGATGTGCAACTATGACATACAACTATCTACTGGGGCTTTGGGGAGAAAAAGGGAAAAAAAAAAAGGAGGAGGATTGGCAATAGATGTTAGCTCAGGGCCGGTCTTCCTCAGCAAAAAGAGGATTGGCATGGATATTAGCTCAGGGCTGATCTTCTTCATGGGAAAAAAAAAAATTACTAGGAAAAAAATGCATCATTAACTTCTCTGGGGTTAGTGACAGGCTGGGACTCCCAGTCCCTAGATCCAGCAAGGGAAGGGGTGCATCTCGGCCACCCAGCGTAAATAAGAAGAGGAAAGGGTCTCGGCTGTAGCCTCCCCGGACTAATAAGCACAAATGCCACAAAGTGGTGTTCGGGCAACAGCAGGTTGCGGCTCAAATGACACGTCTGAATATCGAGGCCACCGCATTTTTCTCACTGGCTCAAAGCTTAGGAAGTCTGATATGCCTCTTTGAAGTCTGCTCAGTGCATGGGGAATGTGTGGATTTTCTGGGCCTCTGACAATGTGGGGACAGATAAGACCCTCAGGCTCAAGTATCAAGAGGCTTTCGCAACTTTATAGACACTGCTGGGAAAAAGAGGAAAGCTAAAATTCTGCAGTTTTTAACAGGCAGTGTTGAACCTGTTTTGCTTCTAGGTTTGGCTAAAAAGAACAGACCCTGTGGATTATCTTTAAGGGGTAGGGAGGCAATCGAGCTGGGCCAGAAGACTGCCGATGGAGTATGTCACAAGAAGGATTTCTGCCTTGAGGGGAGGCCCCTGGCAGGTCCTACAAGTACATCACCCTGTACTTCCCCCTTTCTCCAATTAAAACGCACTGTACAAAGTATCTCCTTCCTGTCCCTGTTTTCATTTTGGTCTTTACCACTAAAAACCTTGCACACATTGAGTTGACCACATTCAAGAAGGCGTATGGCAAGCACAGCATTCGGTGATGTGGTACCAATTTTGGTGAGCCACTTGGCCACAGCGCCATAGATCTCATCCAGGATGAGGATGACCACGAGGTTGATGATGACTGCCGTTGCTGTCACTGTTACCCGGACATTGGAGCGTGTGGCCTTGTTGAGAGACAGAGCAGCTGCAGTGGTGATCCGATACACAATGACCCCAAAGACAATCGAGAAGGTCAGGGCAATCTGTTCAGGAAAAACAGGGAAAGTCACACCTCAGTGGACAATTATTGAGCACCTAGTATTTGCTCAGCCAACAGTGCTATCTGCTACGTCATTTGGATTAATTTGGAGTCCACAGACGGGCAACAAAGGAACAGCAAACCCTCTGAACTTGCATGCAAATTCTGAGCGTGCATTTTCCAGGAGAGATTGACTGCCATTTTCTATCAGATTCTAAATGGCCTATAGCACACCAAAAACCTAAGGATGAAAACGCTGGATACTTTGGCATGTACAACCCACATGTGATTTCTTTCATTAGGGAGCTTTCAATCTACTGTGGAGATAAGATGAACTCCTATTAAACCATAGTAAAGAATAAGCAAGAATGAGTTATTAAGTGGCAAATGGAGACTGTAGTTGTTAAGGGAACTGAGAGTACAGAGGGGCAAGTAGATGTGGGTGGTCAGGGAATAGTGTGCAGAGCAAGTGCGATTTAAACTGGGCCTTCAACGAAAGGAAGTAGGGAGCCATTGAAGGTGTTTGAGCCGAGAATGGGTGAGTTAGAGCTTAATGGGGTGGGTGTGGGAAAATGCCCAAAGGAGAAAAGAGGGGGAGAAATCAGAAATAAGATTTTTTGACTCTCAGTGCTCAGGGTGAATAAAATATCATTCTAAATTTCTCTACCAGGCAATTTGAAATGGAGGACTCAGATTTCTCATTTGGTGCAGAAATCTCTGGCTGCTGTGTTTAAAAGGAAAGTTTACCAGCCACTTGACCTCAATGGGCCCCCTCATTTCCTCTTTCTAGAACCTAAGAGTAATGAGGCGCTCTCCCAGGCAGCTCCCTCTCCTCTCCCATCACAGCCAAAGAAGGGCCATTTTCAGGAAGCACCAGGATGTTAGGAGGAGCAGAGCAAGGAGAAGGAACTGCCAGGTGTGTAATCCGCTCAGAGCAAAATTCTAATTTGTTTCAGTCAAGGGAAGTCTCTTTCTTAGAATTCTTTCTGCAAAGGACACTGTTCAGGTCATATTTCTTGTGGGGGCAGGGAATGGGGGGCAGCACTCGCTGTGAAGGGCTAAGTGGAAAACATGGAGAGAAGAAAGGACAGGTAAAAAGGTTTCCTCTGAGAAAACAAACTGTCCCGGACTGCACATTCCCTCCCTGGACAGGAGAGGAAGAGAGGGGTGAGGGGAGGGGAGGGGATGGGGCTTTGGCTTGGGCAGTGCCTTGCAAGCAGTGTGAGTGACACTGGTGGGCTGCAAATGGAGAGTAAGTGTGTAGTGTGTAGTGGTGGCAGCCTCAGTTGTTTCTCCCATGTGCTTTACAAATATTAGTGTTTGCTCTGTGGGCCATGGTGTGAAAAAGAAGCCCTTGGTAAGAAGGCAGGAAAGCAGTCCTCTGGGTAGAGGGAGGTTGTGTGTGCATGCGTATGTGCGTACATACATGTATGTCAGGGTGGAGGGGAGGTTAGATGGGAAAAACACTCTGTGGGAGGCCCCTCTTCTGGTGCAGGGTCAGGCGGGAGCAGCAGAAGCCCCAGCCTCCAGGACAAGGGAGGAACAACTCCCATGTAAGTGGGAAAACCTGGACATGACATCACCCTCTCCAACAATGTAGACATTTTCACTTCCTGCTCCTCTGGGATTGTCACTGCCAGACAGTAAGGGCCTGGAAAATGTGGTGTGAGATTCTTTTCTCCCAAAATCACTTTTGCAGTGAAGGCCAGTGATGGAAGTATCGATGAGGTGGGGGAGGCCAGGGCACTGAAGAGTGAGCATACGTGTGTATGTGGGGTTGGGATGGGGGAATGACTGGGGAAAAACAACAATGGCAAAAACATCCTTTGCTTTAGGGTCCTGGGGGTGGGGCATGGAGGGACGAGTGGGGAGGAGATCAGCTTCTTTTCTCCTTCTCTAAGAGGCCCAGCTGTTCAACTGGGGAAGAAAGAACACTCTTCTTGCCACTCAGAGTATGATCCGGGGACTTTCTGCATCAGCTGGGAGCTTGATCAGAGTCTCAAGCATAACTCCAGACCTACTGACTCAGAACCTGCCCTTTAACAAGACTCCTATTCAAGCTGGAGACGCACTGCTCTACTCACTTAGGAAAGCCCTCTGCCCACCCTCCCTTCCACCTGGCCCCACCTCCAACATGCCTTCCCCAGCCCTCCGATGCTGTTCTTTGTGATCTGAACTTCTCTGGTCTTGATTTTCCATTCTGCTATAGAAATCAGGTTTTGAACTTCTCCTTCAGTGTTTCTCACAAGCACCTCCAGATTCACAATTTTCAAGTTGGAAAAGTGTGGAGAGCACCAACCCAGTCCCATGACCATTTTGCAGATGCGGGAACAGGTGTGGAAGGCGAAGTGATTTGTTCAAGGTCTCAAGCCCTGGACTACAACCCTAGTCTCCTGCATCATGGTAGGAATTAAAGAATTTTAGCATTTAGGGATCATTCATGTCCAGGCTTTGATCTCATATAGTATAAGGAAACTGAGACCCAAGAAGCAGCAATCTGACTGGTCCAAGGTCTGGAGGGAACATGGCAAAGCTGAGATGCTAATGGTGTAACACCATCACCAACAACAGATAACCCATTTGTGCCATCTCAATGTCATTATTCAATGTGTTAGCATTAATCCTAGCATTAATCCTTATAACAACCACACAAGATATGCCTCTTATAGATGCGATTTAATGACATCCAGGATTTGAACGCTGCTCTATGGCTCCAAAGTCTACAATCCCATCCTGTCATTGGAACTCAGGTCTTTTGGCACTAAATCCAGTATTATTTTCACCACTTGTGGCTGCATTATTGATTTTGTTTATTAAACGCAACAAATATTTTCTAATCACTTATTGAGCAAACCACTGCACTGGGTATATTTCATGTTTGTGATCAGTCTCGCCCAACTAGGCCAAAAGTGGGGGTTGGTCTTGTGCTGCATTCTATGCCTCATGCCATTTTTAAGAGATGCCTCATGCGTAGAACCTGTTTGGTAAAGATATGCTAATCCTCAGTTCTAGGCCATCTAGCTTCCCTGCACATGGTCACATTATCATGGCCCCTGTTACTTTTGGTGTTTTAATCCTATAGCTTTACTTTTGAGTGTAGCCAAACTGCAATGGAAGCCAGGCAACAGAGTTCAGAGTCCTATATGACACCATGAGAGAGACAGGAAGGCGAGCTGGCCTGGTCCATACCCTCCAGGACTCGCACTCTGAAGCGAAGTTGAGAAAACCATTGCATGCATATGACAACGATGAGCCCAGTAGCAGCTGGACAGTCACAGGCCTCAGTTTACCAGCTTCGGCTATGCTCTGAGCAGAGGGCAGGGGGGTTAGTCAGAGGAAACTCCACAGAAGCAGCTTTGGGACAGTTTTCTTCGGGAAATGCTTGGAAGAAAGAATAAGGAGGAGCAAGTAGAAATGAACAAGGCAGAAGCCACCTCTACTGAACCAGTGGGACAGTGCCCAGTCTAGGCCATGGCACATGATAGTAGCTCAATTCAAAAAAATGCACACACTAACGACTTTATCATGGACATAATAAGTTGTCTCTGGCATCTGCTTAGTTAATTTATTTTCTCATTCAGTCATTCAGAAAATATGTCTTGAGCACACGTCTAGGTGTCAGGGATATAAAAGTGAACAAAACAGACAGAAATTTCTGCCCTCGTAATGCGGATCTTCTGGTAGAGAAAGACAGACAATCAACTAATAAATAGATAAACTATATGGTGTGACAAATACTGTAGAAACAAATGAAGCAAAACAGGAGCACAGGGATAGGTTGCAATTTAAAACAGGGTGGTCAGGAAAGGGCTGAGTGAGAGGGTGCCATTTCAGCAAGGGCCTAAAGGAGGAAACGGGAGAGCACTTCAGGTAGAGGGGGCTGGAGCAGACTGAGAGAGGGGCAGAGATGCCGCTGGAGCAGAGATGGTGAGTGGACTAGAGGAGGGGTGGCCTGCAGCACAAGGATGTTGCTTCCTATACCTCATGAGATGTGAAGGCTTTAGAGAGCTTTGAGCAGATGAGTGACATGATTTGACCTAGATTTTAAAAATATCAGTAGTCTGTGATCTGTAGGGGGACGGTATAAAGGCAGGGAGCTCAGTTAGGAGGCTAGTGCAACAATCCAAGGGACGGAGGAGGGTTTCTGACGGCTGGTTCCCAATACACAAGTATAAGTAAATGATTGTTGGGGCATGGGAAGAAAGCTCAGGCACCTAGCTCTAGAGGAAGGACATTGCCTCTGATAATCCCCTCCCATACAAAAAGAAAACAAAAAGAGGATTAACTCAAAAAGGAAAGAAACTTTAGCTCAGCACACTGGGTTGGATAAGAAAAAGAAAATTCCTCTTTGTCCATGCTGGTCTGTCTCACAGGTGGAGAAGATGAACACAGCCCTGGGGCATTTCTTTGCTCTCATCATCCCATGAAAAATACCCCCAACTATCTGTCAGACTGGCATCCCTAGAACTCTCCTCAAGGCCATGGTCCTGGCATCTTCTGCCAAATCTGAGTCACAGGGGCTGGAGGAGGGAACAATATTCGACAGTAGGTGCCTTTGGCTTACTCTAATTCCATAACAAAAAACGCTCTTTTATAAACACCACCCTGACCCTTTTATCTCACACTCCACACCTTGTTCTAGGGTAATGCCAACCCCTTTTCTTTAGAAGATTGATTTTTTTCGGAAAAAAAAAAGAGGAAAAGTTAGTGCAAAATAAAGACTTTTTAAACTTAATAGGTAGAGGACTATATAATTTGTTGCCCAACCTGGAATACTTTTGAAAGTAAAAATGAGTGCTATTAGTAATTCTCTGTCAACAAGGTTAATCCAGGACTAGCCTAGAGCACCTGACTCTAAAGAGGTGACCTTTAAAGGGGGCTCAACCCCCTTCCTACCACTCTACTCCCAGCTCCTGTTCACACATTCCAGTCCTCACTACTTGATGGTTACAGTTGGAGGTACCCAGGTATAGTGAGATTTTCAGTTAGTTCTTGGTTCTGATGCAGAATCTCTCATTTGTATCACGATTTGGAGTTGGGTGGGGTTGGGAAAGAGAAGATAAAAGAAGAGATAATCATATATTATTTCTAAACAACACACAAAAAAATTTCCTACCCTCCAATTTAGCTTTAGGAGGTCTCAATGGAATTTAAAATAAAATCAGAACTCTGGGGAGATGGCCCACCATTGACCCAGTTTTCAGTATTTGTCAATGGTGATGCAGTCATCTATTTGTTGTTGACAGTGAGAATGATGATGACACAAGTTCCTCTCAGACAGTAGATAAGCTTCTATTTTCAGTCCTCTCCTCCCCTGACCTATCAGTAGCATCTGACCCAACTGATCGCCCTCCCCTCCTGCAATACTTTCTTGGCTTCCAGGAATCCCCACCCTCCCCTGGCTGTTGCTTTTCAATCTTCCTTTTGGCTCCTCCTCATGCTCCCAAACTTTAACACTGCAGTATCTTGAGGCTCAGTCCTTGGAGCTTTTCTCTTCTTCTCTCACTTCCCTGGCGATCTCATACAGCCTCATGGCCTTAAATACCATCTATATCATCTGATTATGTCCCCAGCCTGGACGTCTCCTCTGAACTCCAGATTGATATCCATCATGAAGGCAACTCCAGAATTCCTCCCTATCTAAGTCAGGAATAACTCCAGCTTTTTGATGGCTCAGGACAAAAACCTTAGAGTCTTTCTTGACTTCTCTGTTTTACACCCCATGATGAAATTCTGTCAGGTCCACTTTCTCTCCTTGCGGTGCCACTTGCATTGATCTGACTCTTGGTTTTCTGTTTTGTGCCATTGATCTAATTATCTATTCCCACAACAATACCACATAGTCATACTTATTATTGTTTTATAATAAGTTTCTATTTGATAGAGCAGCATATCCCTCCTTATTCCTCTTCAAGAGTGTCTTGACTGTGCTTAGCCTTTGCACTTCCATATAAATAGTCAAGAAGATGATATAAGAACGTTAGAATGTTATTGTTCCATTTATTGCCCACCCAAATTATATATTATTGTTGTGTATATTTTAATTCTATCCTATTTTTAACCTCATGAGACATCAACATTGTTGTCTTCACAGTCAAAGTTCATGTTGGTTTTCCCACATAATTATCACTTTTATTGCTCCTCATTCCTTCTTAAAACTATAGTTTTCCATATGGGATCACATCTAAAATACATTCTTAGAATTTCCTTTCATGAAAGATTCAGTTGGTGGCAAAGTTTCACTCTTTGTCTATAAATATCTTTATTTTATCCTCACGATATTTCTACATGACATTTTTCCTGGGTATAGAATTCTGGGTTAGCAATTGTTTTCTTTCCAGCACATGAAGATAGTGTGTCACTGTATTCTGACTTCCAATTGCTGTGAGAAATTAACAGTCAATCTAACAGTCTCTTCACTGAAGGTAATTTGTCTTTTGATTTCTGAACATGTTTGAGATTTTTCTAGTGTCTTATATAGTCTATGATTTCACTGAGATGAATCTAGACGTAGATTTCATTTTTTCTGCTTGGGTTTCATTGGTGTTCTTCCATCTGTGGATTGGAATTCTGTAGTGGATTAGGAAACCATCAGTCACTATATCTCATTCATTAACTATTCTCTGTCCTCTTTTTCCATCAGTGCAATTAAATATATGTTAAATCTTCTCATTCTATTTTAATTTCTCTTCTGCATTTCCACCTTTTGCCTTTCTATGCTGCATTATGGATAATTCCTCTAACCTGTGTTGCAGTTCACAAATTATCTCTTCAGCTGTGTCTAATTTGCTATTATACCTATCCATTGTTGTATATATATTTATTATAACACATATTTTATATATATTCATTATAATATATTATATATATTCTTTATAATATGTATTATATATTCAATTCTAGCAGATTTATTGGTGTGTTTTCAAATCTTTTAAATAGTTTCTTAGTCTTTGCAGATATTCTCAAGCTGAGTGTTTTAAGCTGCGACTAATATTTCCAATATCTTTAGTCTTTGCTGTCTATTTCCACTGGTTCTTTCTCATGGTGCTTTAGCTTCTTGTGTAATTGGTTATTTTTTACTGTTATTTTCTCTTCATTGTCCTTGAAAAATTCTTTTGGAGGACCTTTTGAAGTCTAACATAAGTATGCCTTCCTAGAGAGAGAATTTGTATTTGCTTCTGCTGCGCACCTGGAAGCACTACAGTCCTGGACTAAGTCCACACCCTGAGGTTCCCTGGTCCTCTTATGTGATAAGCCTGGCTGTAAATCCACAATGGGGATTGCCCAGGGCCACTTCTCAGCGACAGGCTTTTGTTTCTCTTTTCCTCCCTGCTCTACTTAGAACATAACAATTTTCTCTGCAGTCGCATAAGTAGGGAGGGGGTGGATTTCGTTCTATTTCCTCTTTATTCTGAGAGTGTAGCCCTTTAGAATTCCAATTTAATTTGGTGAGGACTTCCTGTTAGAATCTCTACTTTGAGCCAGCCATACCCCCTAATCTCTATCCTCTTTGCCCCATAAAACCACCAAAACCGAAGCCCAAGTTTGCCTAGATGGCAAAATGTCCTCAAGGTAGAAGCAGCATTAGTGCCTGGGTCTTTGGTTCCTTGATTCCCATTTTCCCTTAGAGTTTAGCCTTGTATTCCTTACTATCCCGTAAGCCCTCCAAGGCTTTAAGAAGACTGAAAAATACATTATCCAATATTGCTTTGTTATTTTCAGCAAGTTGGGATGTTACAAATATCCTAATCTACCACTACTGGAGATAGAAGTCTATGTTACTTACCTATTTTCTTATTTATTTACATATTTTGTATCTGTAAACTCCTTAAGGGAGGGATTATTTTGTTTTATTTTCTGCTCTATCCCCAGTGCCTAAGAATAGTGTCAAGCACATAGTTAGCACCCATTAAATATTTCTTGAATGAATGAATAAACTCTTTGACAACAATGTGCATATTGTGGGAGGCTTCAAAGTGCTAAATTAAACTTTATGTCATTCAAGGTTAACACATTGCAATTCCCCACATATTCTTGCATAAATTCTACATGCCTTGTTCTTGTTAAGCAATGAGAAGTTAACAAACGTAGACTTCTAAGCTTTGGCAAGGCACCCATCACCTCTGCACTTCATCTACAAAAGGACGAGTCAAATTAGATGCTTCCCTCACTTTTAAATTTCTGAGACCAGGACATAGTTCCTGTCCTCAGTGGTTATGATGGCAATAATAATGGCAATAATAACCTCAGGCTGAGGTTAGAGTTACCTCTAGCCAGTAGGTCCAGAAAATTATTATGATTTCAGTCTCAATTTTTGGAATAAGCAATCCGTCCTCCACTCTGCAACTAATGTGTGACCCTGTTTAGAAATGCTATAAGGACACAACTCTCCTTTGTAAAACAGAAGCTCCAGTCTTGAATCCTGGAAGGAATCTACCCATAAAAAGGAGGCAGATGTCTTAGTGACCCAAGTTTAGTCTTCTAAGAGGACTGAGTCTTCAGTTACAGTTAGAACCTCAGTCTTCAGTTATTGTTAGCTCACCCATCCTGTGTCCCAAGAATGAGCTGCTGCTACTTTATGGATCTGACTCAAAAATGAATCACAGACTCCTTCCTTGCCTTCCCTGACACAGCTGAGACCATCTGGGCCTTTCAAAAAGGCCCTCCCAAACTCTAAAGGAAATAAACACAGTAACTATAGGGAAGCTGAAGAATCAGGCTTACAGAGCCCAGGCTGACCATCTCCTGTGGCTTCCAGACTCTGTTCTATTCCACAAACTGTTAGAGAGAGCCAGCTCACACCCCAAACAGGCTTCACAATTCTGCACCCATCTTACCTGATTACCTCTTCCAAGGTTTTGGTCTGTCTCAATGTGGAAGGCACCGTCTCACAACCCACCCCCTGGAAGTTCCAACTTCAAACATCTGTGGTCAAGGCTGTGAAGATAGAACCCCCTTTTGCCCTCTTCTTTCTGGAAAAATAGAAGCCCCTTCTACACCACTGCAGACCACTGATCCCTCCCAGGTCTGGCTTTCTGTCTGAGGGGATCATCTTCTCCTGTTCAGGTGACTGACACCAGCAATGGCCCCACTATCAGATAAGATCCTGCCCCTCTATGTAGGGCTGTGGCTTCCTCTTTACTAGCCTTTCACTATTCCCACAGTGTAATAGAATAACACATCACAGCATTCACAGAACAGGATCTAACATGCATAAGTCATAGGCAGGTGTTCCCTCAAGGAAATTACCATGAATAAGATGGAGGCAAAGTTCATCAAGTAACCTGGGAAACGATCTTTCCAGGTCAGCTTATCTTCGTCATCCTGGGGAGAAACAGGAGGGTAGAGATAATCAGAAGGCACAAATAACAGATATTAATTTTCTCTCAATTTTGCATAAATTTGCATGTTATTAATCATTCTTCACTCAACATGGGTATTTTTCTAGTCTCTGATGCCTTACTTTCCATATCAACAATATCCTTCCTAATTTTCTACTTTCTAGATGAGCTGACATAGACTGGAAAAACTATGGTGAAAAGATGACTGATTTGATTTCAGCCTCTTGGGCTGAAACCCTCCTATTGGGCTGAAGTTCTAGTTCAAGACCAGCTGTGTGATCTCGGACATGTCTCTTAACATTTCTGACCCTCTATTTCTTCATCTGTAAAATGGGCACAGTCACAACTACCATCCTGCCTACTGCACAGGATGGCTTTCTTTGCTTGTTTCGTTTTAATGAGAAACATGTGAAGTTGGTAAAGCAACAGACAAATGGCAGATACAACCCAACCAGAGGGCAGCATCCTACAAACAGATCATCCTTTAAATAAAACATCAACCACTGGAAACTTAGATCCTAATAACTGCACAAATTACCCACAATTTTTATTCTTCAAAGAACCTGTATGTGCCATCATTTATTTCCTCTAAAATGGCTGTGTTATGCCCTGGTCACAGATGTAGACACTGAGAGGTGCAGCTCAATCTGATGCTTTGCGGTCAGTCTGGCTGAGAATCTGACCTCTTCCCCCTTCAGACTGGGTCCAGTTCACCCAGGCTGCTCCCCTGGGACAATCATATCACTGACCACAGTCTTCCTTCAGCATGCTCTGAGGACCCTCATTTGGTAGGGTGATGCCCACAAGGTATGAATGCCAAAAATTTCTGCCTACTAATTGCCATATAATTTTAGTCCAGGTGCTTGATTTCTCTGAGCTGCAGTTCTACAGACCTAGAATTGATATAGTGTCCTGCCTACTACCAAGGTTGTTGTGAAGACCCTCTGAAGCCATGTGGGTGAAGATGCCATGAAAATGGCCAAGCACTCTGCTGGGAAGGTAGAAGTCCCTCTGCATTTCTGCAGTGTGTCTGAATCAAACTCAGTAAGTGAAGGTGAAGGCCCCTGCTCTATTTTCTCTTCCCTCCTCACTGCTATTTCAGAACACACCTGATTTGGCACTGGCAACAGTGCCATCTAGCCTTGAAAGCTTGTACTGTAGGCTAAGGGCCTTCTTGGCCTAAAAGACTTCTTTCTAAAAACCTTTGTGCACCGACTGCGTGCAGACCTTGGTGCCAGGCACAGTGGGGAGACAGAAGAAAGTGGATATAATTGCTGCCCCTGGGGGCTCACAGTCTAATGAGACACAGGGGCACTCACACACCATAAAGGTTCACGAATCACTTGCTGGTTTGGGAGTGAGGGTTATCTTGGGAGTGAGCCTGTGGGGAACTTGAGAAAGGGAATGATGCATCCTTCTCACTGCATGTCTGGAACTGAGCACAGGGCTGAGCTGACTTAATAAATGGAGGTGGAAATGAGCGTTAAGTCTGAAGTCATTTAGTAATCAGCACTTTCGTTTACAGATGATGTAAACAGGGATACTGAGTTTTTCAGAGACTTAGTGATAGAATCAGGTCTCTAGGCTGCTAGCCCAGCAGACTTTCCACCGCACAACGAGAATAAATACATGTTGTGACCATTCTGAATAGGTGGGAGCATATAAACCTATTTCTATTGGGACTGGAACAAGACTCATTCATATTCTTCTAAATTAGGCCAAACATCAAGAGGGAGTAGCATTTCTTTCTTTTCCCCTTCAGTATTAATTCTTAATTTCACTCACGCTAGTGGTATTTTCCTCTAAGATTTTGATGCAGAAAACTGAAGATGGGTAGGTGGATAATAGCACTCAATAGGGACTTTGAAAAGAAATATGGGGATGCAGGATGGGGCTCATCCTGAGGCCTCCCTAATTACAGTGAAGGTTTTGATGATTCCCTGACTCTTTTTCTTGTCTCCGGTCTAGAGATAAGAGGTTCTGCCTTAAATGCCAGCAAACCAGGTAGGTTCTGAAATATCAGTGGTGAGTAAGAAAGAGAAAACTCCAGTTAACAGCTTCCATGTTACCCGTTCCTCACCATTGGGGCTCCCTGGGTGAGGAGCAGGGCAAGAAGAAGAAGAAAAACCTAAGTCTGGTGCATGAGATGAGGAGAAGGGGGGAGAGTGAGACTGGGTTCAGAGTGGCCCTCAGAGTGGAGTTATACAGTCCTGGAAGAAATGGGGGAAAGGGAAGTAAGTACAAGCAGAGGAGCAGGAAATATGGCCCAAGATGAAGCAGGCTCCAAGAAAAAAGTACAATTGTATAAGATGACTAATAAACCAGTGGGAGGAGTTAGGCATCCGAGATGGTTTTGGCTAAGGTTTCCTGCCAGGCGCTTGTCAACCTTCTTCAGGACAAGGACCAAGGGCGATGAGATGTTTTTGGACCAGCCTCTACCCTACAGCGACAACTGTGTCCTGGAGAATGAGTTTTGGTTCAAGTCCACTCAACAAGCATGGTCTGAGCACCCTGGATGGGCTGGGCTCTGTGCTGGATCCTGAGGACATAGTGAGGAGAAGGCTCGGCCCTGCCCGGGAGGAGCTCAGAGTCCACTGAGGAAACAAGGAAAAGGATTTCAGAGCTAACCTTTGTAAAGATGGTGGCATTACTACTTTGCATAAAAATGAGACATAACTAAAAAACAATTGAACTGGATGTCTCTCTAAGCAACTATCTTAGTGAAAAATACTCATTTTGATATAGATGTTCTGGTGCTTGTTGAAAAATCTCGCCCTCTTATGTTTACACTGATGAGCTCTTTTTTCTGGAAGTCACTGCTTCCAACAAACACACACTTCTCATCCATCCAGACGCTATCCAAACACAAGAGGCAGAGAGAAACACAAAAATCACAGCCTGCCTCCCAAGCTCCCAAAGTTACTAATAAAGACGACAGGGAGTAAAGAAGCCTTTACATATAATAACTGGCTCTGATAATGGAAGCTAATTAAAACCCTCCACTCACTGGCACATTAAAAATGTGAAGATTCATGGCAAAATACCATTAATAACCACACTCTGCATAAGTCACACAACCAGCTGATGGAAGAATAGAAAGAGAAGTAGACTCGGAATCAGAACATCTGAGCTGAACTCTTGGTTCTAATACTTACTCATCAAGTGACTTGGGGAAATCCTCAGAATCTCAGTTTCCTCATCTGTAAAGTAATTATATTCCTATCTGTAAAACAGTAATATCTACCACACCAAATTACCACACATTTTATTTTAATTAGCCAACCTGTGGAGAGGGCCAAGCAAGTACACCTGCACACAGAGGTGAGAACTCCCAGCGCCTCCCTCTCCTTTTAAAACAGAGATGACAACACTTGTCCCACCTAAGGGGCAGAGGGATTGTGCGGACCACATGAGTGACTGCTGTGAGAGGGCTCTGTAAACTATAAGGCATCATACAAAGTAAGTCTAACCAGCTTCATGATTGTATCAAAAGCAGGTGACAGGGAGCACTTAGCTGATGTCACCATTGTTAAGATATGGCCCTAGCTGTCGTCTGTGCTCATTTCTTTGTCTCAGCTGCCTTGTGTCTGTTCCTGGACTACGGCTCCCACTGCTGAGTCTCCAAACAGCAAATAGCCCAGTGATGTTCATGTGAAACAACAGTTGGCAAACTGAACACTTGGAAACCAATCACTGAAAATGCTGCTGGTGAGAATACTATTTAAACAAATCCCTTGGAGAGCAATTTTGAAAAGTGGGCAATCATCCTTCAGTTGGTATTTTTTTTGCATTTCTTTAATTAAGGTATAATTTACATATAGTAAGATTCACCTGTATTAGTTTGCAGTTCTGATAAACATACACTGTTATGTAACCACGACCACAACCAAGATATTGAACAATTCCATCACACTCAGTCCCTTTGTAGTCCATCTCCTCCCCCAATCCCCAGCTCCCAGCAATATCTATTTCTGTCCCTTTAGGTTTGCCTTACCCAAAATGTCATATAAGTAAATTCATACAATGTGAAGCCTTTTGATCTGACTGCTTTCATTTAGTGCAACACACTTGAGACTCATCCCTGCTGCATCCCCAGGAGTCTGCTCCTGTTTGTTGCTAGTAGGATTTCATTGAATGCATGTGCCACAGTTCACTTACAGATCACTAACTGAGAGATGTTTGCATTGTTTCTAGTTTTCGGAGATTATGAATAAAGCCATTATAAGTATTTGTGTACTGGTTTGGTGTAAGCATAGGGTTTCATTTCACTGAGGTAAATACCAAGTAGTAGAATTGCTGAGTCATAGGGTAAATGTATGTTTGATTTTATAAGCAACTACCAGACTGTTTCCCAAAATGGCTGTGCCATTTTGCATTTTCACCAGTAACATGAGAATTCCTTCCTCTACTTTCTTTCTTCTCTTTAAATAAACTTTTTATCTCAGGATAGTTTGGATTTACAGAAATGTTTCAGAGGGTGCAGAGTATATATATATGTACACTCTGTACGCAGTTTTCCCTATTACATCAGTAGGGGTACGTTTTTCACAACCAATGAATCAATATTGTACATTATTATTAACTAAAGTTCATACTTTATTTGTATTTTATTAGTTTTTACCTAATATCCTTTTTCTGTTCCAGGGTCCCATCCAAGATACGACATTCTATTTAGTCATCATGTCTCCTTAGGCTCCTCTAGACTATGATAGTTTCTCAGACTTTCCTTGTTGTTGACAACCTGGTCTGTTTAAGGAGTACTGTTCAAGTATTTTGTAGACTGCTCCTCAATATGGGCTTGTCTAAGTTTTTCTCATAATTAGACTGAAGTTATGGCTTTGGGGGAGGAAGACCACAGAGGTAAAGTGCCATTGTCATCACATCATATCAAGGGTACAGGCCATAATGTGACCTGTCACTGATGATGTGAACCTTGATCACTTGGTGGAGGGAGTGTTCCTCAGGTTACCTTACTGTAAAGTT